GCAGACTTGATGGGAATGGCATCTGCACGCAGGTCATAGCCCTTCTTCTTGTCTTCTTCCATTGCCAGCCTGTACATTTTCTGAAAGATAAGCAAGCATTCCCCACGTGAAGCTAACAGCACTTCTGCCTGGATCGCCTCCGCCCACAGCTGCACACCAAACCCCAGGAAAAACACCTACCTCACTGAAGTTCACTTTGTTCTGCTGGGCCAGCAAAATACCAGGCGTATCTGGCATAATGTGAATGCTGGTCTTGTCTTTCTCCCAGGCTGCGATGTACGAGCGCTGAAAAGATGAGCGCAACACGCACTAAGAACACACAAGAGCACAGCAACAAACGCAAAGACAACCCAGCTCTCTTGCTACAGACACAGGCACCTTGCACTGAACCAACAGCCCCCATCCTACACCCGTTTTCCTCTGCCACAGCGCTCCCAAACACTGCTCCAATTGCACTCAACACAAATGGATCCAAAGCACTGAGCACAGATCCCCAGGACAGGGCAGTGCATCAGCCCTCCAGAAAATAACAGCTCAGAGTCCCACAAAAGGCAGGCAAAACACCTCCAGCTTGCAAACACAAAGGCAGCTCACGTGGTTCATGATTTCAGAGTTGTGCTTTGCCAGAAGCATAGGCATGGAGTCAGGAAGGCTCGTGAACTTGATGGTGTCCGGGTGCTGCCGGTACTTCTTGTCACTCAGGATCGTGCTCGCTCGCTTGTTCTTCTCTTCATCCAGGGACCCAATTGGGGACCAGCCAATGCCTTTCAGCCACTGCAGGTCAGACCTGTACACAATCTGAAAAGACACGGCAGGACACACGGCAGCTCAGCAACATCCTTCATGGCTCTGGCTGCTGCAACCCAACCTGACAGCAATTATGACTCCCGTTAAGCACAACTTCCCTCACACCCAGCTTTTGGAGGCACGTGCTGCCTACACCAACAAAAGCAGTCAGCAAGTAATCGACCTACTGTCCTCCAGAATCTTCACTACTAAACCCTCTGCACGCAACAGGGACAAAGATCTGCTCTGCTCACCAACTGCTGGCTGGCAGCAGCACACGAGCAGCTTTACTCCTCAACACCTAATGCTCCTTGAACCATTCCCATCTGCACAGATGCCTTGTGTTTGCCCAGCCATTTCACCCCAAAGTAAACAATTTGATTCTTTTGCTCTCCCCATATCAAACTGAACTTTGACACCAGCACCCATCCTTCCCCAAAAACTCTCACAGTAAGGCACGACTCTTCTGCTAACATAAAGAACGATGTCACACAAACATCTTCCTCCCCACCTCAGGACACACCATGCAACACTCAGACAGGCACCACGGCCACACCACACTCTCACACAATCACCTATCTTACCTTTCCCCAACTGCCCATCTTCTGCAACAACGGCACACAACACAACACCCACTTCCCCTTCCCACACACCCAACACACCATAACTCACATCACTCTGCAGGTCGTACACTTTCCGGGCTTGCACGACATCGTTCTGGTC